GAATAAAGGGTATGATTGCAGAAGTCCTAGTCCGGTATATTTTTGTATGCAAGGTTATCCAAAATAATGGTTTGTTCAGAGGATGCTGTTGGCATCATCTTTTCTGACACTGACTCTCCTGTAAATCTGTATGTAGTGTATTGTCCTTCATTGTCAATATTTTCACATATTAAGTCACATGTGCTGATATTGCCACCAGCCAACAAACTTACATGACATTCACTTTTATGTTCTTTCTCCCCCCTCCAAATTCAACTTCAAATTCAACCAAAGTAACGTAGAAAGTCACTGTTGATGTAAACACTGTTTTATATGTATTATCTTTCTAATTGTCCATGGAATACAACTGGGATTATACATAAAAGTTGTAGTTAATTCCTCATGGTTAGAGTAATATTTCAATATCACCTCTTCATAATTTTGCTGTTGTTGATCCTCTCTTGGTTTAAGTTGTTCTTATATTATCATAAACCCTTTAACTGATTGTTTTGTCACGTAATTTTTACTTTACTATATTTTCTTTTAGTGAAGTGACAATAAAATATAAATCGAATAAAAATAAATGTGTATATTTGAATTAAAATATTGTTTTCAGCACAGTTTTCAGTCAGGACTACTTTGGGTAAACCAAAATATTGAAGCAATTGAACATATTAAAATTATTTAATATTTATTTATTACATAATATAATTGGTTAACACACACAACTGCTAGTGGTTTATTACATAATTAGTCCTTGTCATGTTTAGCAATGTGAACAGTGCAAAATATTGGTACCATGCCTTGGACTATCACCAGACAAGCTACCTGAAAAGATGCCCAATGGTTGTGCTCACTGGTTACCTAGTTAAACAGTGGAACCTAACGCCACTTTTAAAATTGTAATGTCTTACATTAAGAATACTTGATAAGTTGGCTAAACTTTGTATCATTAAATAATATCTGCAGAAACTTCTGCTTTATTGTTCTTGTTGCAATATAGATTACCACTGTATACAGTTAAAGACCCAAGGACCAGATGTGATTAATTAAAACCAGGAGTTAGTCAGTCAATTTAAGACAAGAGTCAGAATTATAATAAATTAATGAAAGTTTTACTGAAGTTTGTAGTTTCATCATGAAATTCATCATCAAAACACAACCATTGACACCTGATCATACTTTCTTTTGACTTTTGTGCCATTACAAATGTGTTTTATAAACACATGAGTTTCAGCAGCCAAACACACACTCCGCCCCCTGAGCTGGGAGCAGCAGCTCATTTGCATTTCAAGTGTTTCTTTACTTCAGTGATTTTGCTTGTTAACAGCAGGTGTTCATCACTAATGCTCAATCATCACTTAATTAGTCACTTAAATAATTGCTTAACTTATTGATTGCAATGTATATCTTCTTTTTGTTTTTTAAATTCAATTAAGGTAATCGGTGTCCTCAAATGTAATGAGTTAGCTTAACTTAAGGATTTGACTTTGTGTGTGATATTGTGAGCTAGTAGTAACTACAAGCACTTAAAAGTTCATTTAAAGTTTGTAATTTCACTGTTTTTACTCAATATATAATATCATATATCAATATATTTGAATGCAGAAGTTTAATTGTGTATTAAGAAATTTCCTTGTTTTAGTGGACTTGATTAAAATAAGTTCAGAGTACTCACAACTATTGTTTTTATAAACTTAATTGAATTGAGGTAATCGGTCTCAACTGAAATGAGTTAGCTTAACGTGTTGGGTTTTACAGTGCACCTCTCAGATATTCAATACAAACATTAGAGAATACATGAAATAACATTTTCGATAATCACACTGGTAATTTCTATAACAATGTACAATCTTATAAGCCTAGAGAAGTCATTCAACTCATTTGATATTTAGAATGAAAATATTGATTAATACCTTGATTAAATTTGTTGGTAACACTTTACAATAAGGTTCCATTAGTTAACATTAGTTAATGCATTAGTTAACATGTACTAACTGTAGCGACAACGAGAATGAAACCCACACAAGTGAAGCTGTCATACATAATCAAACACAAGAGGCTGCATATTCCAGATCACCCGAGGCTATGAGCCAAGAAGACCTTTTGTTGTTTAACTAAAGGAAGGACGTTGTCAATGTTTTATAATTTGGCAAGAACAGATCTGTTCAGAAATGGTGAAACAAGAGGCCCTAACAAGAAGTCACCTGACCCCTGCGACTAAACAGACTAGCCTTTCTTTAAGAACCAAGGTCTCATGATATGTTGAACAAGAACAGACTTCAGCAGGAACTATCATTACCTCAGACTGGAATGTCTTTCTTAAACCCCAGAAACTTTACACACACACATAAGGACTTTCCTCCAATTCTCCAATACCAATAAAACTCATCCCAGAACAATTCTTGACTGACCCAGAATCAAAATCATGTAACATAACAATTATATATTGTGTTTACAACCCCTGTATGTGTCTATTCTGCTTAGATCACATCTAAGTCATGTAATTGTTTTAAATATTAGAGATACTGGAATGAAAGTGTCGTGTTTCCTATCATTATGCTCGTATGTGTTTAATTCAAAAGATGGCTTGATTGAAATCTGTGTAAAAATGTTTATGTTCTTAAAATGGAAATTATGTCTAAACTGAATCCTATGTTCAAGCTGATGACTAAGCAGACCACAGATAGCACATGATTCACGATGAGAGAAAGGGGGGGATAGAATAGACCCCCTTCTCAAATAACCATATAGTATCTTATTGTCCGAATTCCAAATTCCTCCAGGAGGCGGGACAAACATTTTGAGTTAAAAATCTTAGACCCGGACACAGAATCTCTCTCTTGTGATGCGCTCTTGTGATGCGCTCTTGCCCTCGGCTCTTGCCCTCTTGTACTCTCTTGCCCTCTGCTCTCTTGTGATGCTCTCTTTCGGCAGAACAAGCCGGGTGGAGCCAACGATGGTTATAGTAACCATGTAGACGCAGAGACAAATGACCCAAATCAAGATATGGGTTAAAACAGATTTAATTCAAGCCATCTCGTCACACTTTTCTTTCTTTTCTTAGTTTGTTTTCTTTTCCGTTAAAAGTCTCGGTTCTAAGTTAAGTTTTGCTGCAAAGTTTCGTTTAAAACGTTTCGACTGCAACACGCTTCCAACTTCAAAGACTTTCATCCATCCGCCAACACACCACGTGACTGGCTGCCCAAGATCTATCAAGCACGAGGAGACCGCCAGCCAAACCACGGACCCGGGAACCCCCTTCATGACAAAAGGGAACCCCAAAGCAAGGACAAGCAAGTACCTCCAGACTTTTAACTGAACTGGTGATTTTAATATCAAATTGAATTACCCGCCTAAGAAACGATAAAAGGGTGAAATTAATTATTGATGGTTCGTTCAGGTCATGTCTTTTAAGTGCATATAGAAACTTGGGATCTCACCATCTAACTCCTAAAACTCATTCTTCCTCACTCTCTGTCTTTCTTCAACTTGTATGAATGCGTGTGCGTGTGTTTGTGTTATATTAGTTTTTTTGTGTGTTAGTCATAGGCTTATAATCAATAAAGTATTGTTTGTATTTGAAAAGAGAAGCATTACTTGTGTTATGTGCTTACAGATTTATTGTCTTGAACTTCGATCTAAGTTACCTATGCTTTGACCCTTGATTTATTTCTTAATTTAGCTGTTAGCTGGGAATTAGTCTTTCTTGGCCAAGAAGATATTATATTTCCTAGAATTAATGATTGTTTATGCTTTCCGTTCATTGGATGAACTGATAAACTGATCATACTATTGATTTTGCTACAGTAAATTCTGAAAATAATTCAATTATTAATTATTGATCATAATCCGTTATGAATAATAATTAATTATATTTATACGTGCGTATAATCGCTACATAACCATGAACAACATCTCTGTTCAGCATTAGTTCATATTTGTTAACGTTAACTCACACATGTACAAATGCATCAATTCACATTAATAGCCCGGTTAGTTAACATTCGTTAATGCATTAGTTAACATGAACTAACCATGAACAATGCCTGTAAATAGCTTTACTGTAATTTTTTCATAAACATTTCAGTTTATTGTACGTACAGTAAGGGAGTTATTGTCAAAATTTCACCTGTAGTAAGTCAGTGTGGTCACTAGGAAAGCACTACAGCCTTTGGAACGGGAAAAAATACTTTAGGGGAATTACAGTAATTTTTTATAATGTTGGTCATAAAATTCTGCACTGTACAGTATTTTGAATGCCTTCTTGATCTTGCTGTACATTATCTGTCAGATTTGCTGCACCAATGTGAACAGGTTCATTCACTACCGTTATTAATAATGTAGCCCCTATTAATGTTCTACAACCTTAAACAAACAAAACCCCTTTTAGTGAATTACAGTATTATATTATTATGTAATACAGTATTATTAAGTATTGTCAAAATTTCATGTGTAGTAAGTCAGTGTGGTCACTAGGAAAGCACTACAGCCTTTGGAACGGGAAAAAATACTTTAGGGGAATTACAGAAAACTTTTCTTGAACTTATTAGTTTTTTGTACGTACAGTAAAGGAGTTATTGTGGAAATTTCACCTGTAGTAAGTCAGTGTGGTCACTAGGAAAGCACTACAGCCTTTGGAACGGGAAAAAATACTTTAGGGGAATTACAGTAATTTTTTCTTGAACTTATTCATTTATTGTACGTACAGTAAAGGAGTTATTGTGGAAATTTCACCTGTAGTAAGTCAGTGTGGTCACTAGGAAAGCACTACACCCTTTGAAACAGGAAAAAATACTTTAGGGGAATTACAGTAATTGTTTCATAAACATTTTAGTTTATTGTACATACAGTAAAGGAGTTATTGTCAAAATTTCACCTGTAATAAGTCAGCGTGGTCACTAGGAAAGCACTACAGCCTTTGAAACACGAAAAGAATACTTTAGGCTAGGGCAATTACAGACATTTTTTTAATAAACATTTGATAATTGTACGTACAGTAAGGGAGTTATTGTCAGAATTTTACCTGTAGTAAGTCAGTGTGGTCACTAGGAAAGCACTACACCCTTTGAAACACGAAAAGAATACTTTAGGGGAAATACAGTAATTTTTTTAATACACATTTGATAATTGTACGTACAGTAAGGGAGATATTTTCAAAACTGTACTTTGTTTAATGGTTTCAATGTTATTTTAAAGCAAATCATTCTTCTATAAATACATCCATGAAGTAAAGAAGTTACTGTTTTCAGCCATTACAGTAATACATATTTAGATAATGTAATATTTTTTGATGGAAGGTGTGCCATTGAAGAACCCCATAGGAGTTTTGCTAGTTTTTTAAATGTTCACCTGTTAGGGGCGCACAGTCAAAGACCCAGAACCAGATATGATGAATGAAGAGCAGGAGTCAGAATTATAATAAAGAAAAGATTTACTGAAGATAGTTTTCAGTTTCATCAGCAGAAGTCAGCTTCAAGACTCTCACAGGAGTTCATAGGCCGTTACAAAGATCACAGAATCACTAAATGAGCAAGCATTTTAGGGGAATTACAGTAATTGTTTCATAAACATTTAGTTTATTGTACATACAGTAAAGGAGTTATTGTCAAAATTTCACCTGTAATAAGTCAGCGTGGTCACTAGGAAAGCACTACAGCCTTTGAAACACGAAAATAATACTTTAGGCCAGGGCAATTACAGACATTTTTTTAATAAACATTTGATAATTGTACGTACAGTAAGGGAGTTATTGTCAGAATTTTACCTGTAGTAAGTCAGTGTGGTCACTAGGAAAGCACTACACCCTTTGAAACACGAAAAGAATACTTTAGGGGAAATACAGTAATTTTTTTAATACACATTTGATAATTGTACGTACAGTAAGGGAGATATTTTCAAAACTGTACTTTGTTTAATGGTTTCAATGTTATTTTATAGCAAATCATTCTTCTATAAATACATCCATGAAGTAAAGAAGTTACTGTTTTCAGCCATTACAGTAATACATATTTAGATAATGTAATATTTTTTGATGGAAGGTGTGCCATTGAAGAACCCCATAGGAGTTTTGCTAGTTTTTTAAATGTTCACCTGTTAGGGGCGCACAGTCAAAGACCCAGAACCAGATATGATGAATGAAGAGCAGGAGTCAGAATTATAATAAAGAAAAGATTTACTGAAGATAGTTTTCAGTTTCATCAGCAGAAGTCAGCTTCAAGACTCTCACAGGAGTTCATAGGCCGTTAAAAAGATCACAGAATCACTAAATGAGCAAGCACTGTTACTGCTTTCAGATATCAAATACAGACATTAGAAAATACATGAAACAAACATTTCAGTAATCATACTGGTAACTTCTATAACTAAGTAAAATCTCACATGCCTAGAGAAGTCATTCCACTCATGTGATATTTAGAAAGAAAACCTTGATTATAATCACTCATTACATATACATTGGAGCAGCAGTTTATTCCAAAATCCACACCCTTCACCCCCAAAATAAACATCATGTTTGCTGTCATGCTTTCTGGGTACTTGTCAATAATCTGATGGATTCAGTACCATGGACAGTGATATTTCTGCAGGACTGTAAACATCAATCAATGCACACGAATTGTGTTATTGTGAGAGTTTAATGTTAATTGAAGATGCTATACAACAGGAAAACATAAAATACTGTTAGGCCATTCTTTTTATTCAACACCTGGAGAACACTGTTACACTGTAAAGTCTTTATTACACTTAAAAACAGAAAAACCAAGGTGGATAAAACAGCAAAACATGGGCTGTAGTATGTTCTGTAGGGTCCAGACAAGACCATTCAACTTGCTTTGGAACAGTCGGCCCATCCTTTCAAAACCTATTGAAATAAATCATATGTCATTATTAAAACCAAGACCAACACTGTTCTTGTTCATTTTGATTTCAAATAAATAAATAAACATATATATAAACATATGTAAAATGAAGCGATTAACTATGTTCAGGAGATTACACATGATTTTCCACTTTCTACAGTCTGGATTGTTACCAGATTACAGTTCATGTTGCCTACATGTTCATTCTATTATTTCCTAAACACCTTTTTAAACACCATCATTATAATGCAGTTTGTATTGTTGCTAAAGGACATTCTATTGCATTAGAACACACAATGTGAGAGATATTTGCTGGTACATCTGTAGTTGGCTAAAATGTAGTTGTCTGTTTGCACACGATGAAAAACAATATAAACTTTTTAGACGGTCCCTATCTTGGTTACCACACTACATTGAATATTCAACAAAGTGTGTATGCATTAAAAATATACTTGCCCATTTTGATCGATTGTAGAAAATGTTGTAGTTCACAATCTTTGTTGTCAATATTGTGTAGCTGCTTCAAATCTGAAAAAAAAAAATCCTTCATTGACTATTTAATTGAAAAAGTTAGTTAACCCGAATGTGCGAATGTGCGAATATAAAACCAACTTTACCTAAGTCGAATGCTTTCGCATATTTGGACTGGAGTTTTGTACCAGTAAATCAGTGGCTTGGACTGGAGGAGCAAAGGATAGGAGCAAGACGGACTGACGCTGCCGATGTTCCCGAGTCACTCATCTTGACCACCCGTGCTGCCAACTTGGGTCAGTGTTGCGTTGCTATATTTCCAAACCCGAAATCAAGTCGTACACACACACACACACGCACACACACACTGCAGAATTAACGAGTGCTAGTTTTTCTTTTGTTTTTGTTTTTCTCTCTTTCTACTTTTTGAACATGAAGATATAGTACTACTGTGTTTTTTAAGAGTGTTGAATTTTCTTTTGTTTATTTTTATTTATTTTTTTCTCTATTTTTGAAGTAAAGTGTGTTGATGAAGAAAACTTTCTAATCTTAGTAAAGAAAGTGCATATAATTTCTTATGTAGTCTGTTTCTTTCTTTTTGTATGTAACGGGTGGTTGTTGCTATCCGGGACTATAATATAAATCTGTGTGGCAGGTGTATACTTGTCTGGCGGCCGAACATGAATGATTGTTTGTTTGTTTATTTATTTATTTTTTCTCGAGGCCGTGATCGTCACTGTGGTCTAGCGGTTAGGACTCTTTGTTGCCACGCAGGAGACCCGAGTTCGATTCTCACCTAAGATTTTTTTTTTTTTTGCCTTATTGGGTGACCACTGTTACAATCTTCATCTTCATCTCCATCTTCAATCTCCACATCAGTGACTGGCTCTGATGAAGTCCCTCCAGGAATTCCCTCACCCATTGGCCTTCCAGCATTCAGGCTCAGGATCATCTCCATCTCCATCTCCATCTAGTTGTGGTGCACGCGCTTAACTCAGAGTCAGTCAACTTAGAGTTGATTGAACTAACTCATTTCAGCTGTTCTGTAACCGAAAACTCAGAGTTTCCCATCTCAGGGTAAGTCAACTCAGAGTTCAAGTTTTAACTCAGAGTTGGTTGAACCTCCTTATTGAAACGGGCCCCTGGTGTCATTGTCACATGTTGTGCTAAGCTTATCAGGTATCAGCAATATGCTGTCATTTCAGCAACATTGCTATCAGGACCGTGGTTGCTAGTGCAATGTTATCGAATATATGTTTGTTACTTCGGCTAGTATTTTTGCACATACTGTCCTAGGCAACCTGCTGTAGTAATCAAGCGTTGTTTTATGCTTATCTGGTTGCATTGGAAAAATGCTTGTTCTTTATTCTATCCGATTATTGCAACATGCTGTGTTGAAGTTACCACATACTTGTGGCTAAAGCTATCTAGATATCGGTAACATACTTGTGCAAAATACACAGTACATTCACCGCAGAGGTCTGGTATTCAACACTAACAACATCTTAGCTTGATGGTCCTGTGAAGGAGTGTGGAATCATGGGAGTCGTCATCTTCACCTCCACAGCCGATCAAATCCATAGGACGGGAGCAGAAATCATGTTCGTGAATGAGGAAGCACAGTGCAGTGTTTCCCCTAGAAATTTTTCCAGCAGCGGTGCTGTCACGTGACGGAGGATGTTACCAAGTCGCGCGCGGGGGGTCCGGGGGCATGTACCTCCGGAAGGTTTAAACCCCAGGTTTAAACCATGACTTCTGGCAAGTTTTGTGGATAGAAATGGACATTTTGAGACATACAAATATGACATACCATCAACAGATTCAAGGCATGATTATTGCAGCACGTACCTTGAACTGGTCACAAACAGAAACCTTCATTTTATAATTTTAGACAGGATTTTTCACGTTTTTGTTTTGTGTTAATTTTCAGCTATAAGGTAGATATTGCTAGGGGAAAAATAAAATGGCACAACCCAGAAAAAGATTATTTAGAATTTATTGAAAATTTTATCTTAATGGCAAAGGCCACACCCAATCTGTGAGCACTTCATTTTTCTAACATTTTTAAAATCAAAAGTTTTATGTTAACATTATTGAATGTACAATGAATGAAGTGAACAAACATGAACTATCAAGTGTTTGTATTAAATAACATTCACAAACATTAATTCATGTTGTAAAAATATATTGTTCACTCAATGTGTTGATGTTAGATAACGCATTAAGTAATGTTAATGAATAGTATCTTATTGTAGTGTTACCAAACAATACAGGAGATAAAACGTGTTTTATTTGACTTGACTGTACTTTTATTTAATCTCATATTTAATTTTAAAAGGCTTTTTAAACCTGCTAAGAGTTATCCAGCCAAGAATAAGCCTAGAACTGCTTTTCTGATGGACTAATAATGGCATAAACAGTACTCGGGTGTCAGTCCGATACTGTGCTCATGTACTCCTACTCGTAAAACTACCGCGCCCGAGTCCACTTTAGGGGCCGTTCACATATCGCGTTTTTTTGCGCGCAAATTCGTTATTTCAATTGTAGGCGCGCATGGCGAGATGAAAACATCGTAACATCTCATCTCAACAGGCCATGTGACAAAAGCCAACCGATCAGCTTCGGCCTTTCCGTAACAACATCGAAAGCTCGGCCGAACAGCTGATCATAGCTGTACAGGGCGGCTTTTTATTTCTCATCTCCATAAATATATCTAGTAGTAAAGCTAATGCAAGTGCTAGAAATCAATTAATTCTTTGCTGATACTTCCTCGTCCTCATGGAGAGCGCCGCTTTCTCCTTTCTAAAAAGCGCTTGCTCTCCCGTGGCGTCTGTCGTTGCTATGCAACCATGAACAGAGGCGGCCTGGAAAAACAAGTGCGCTTCCCGCGCGCCTACATTTGAAATAACAAATTTGCACGCGCAGACAAACGCGCTAAGTGAATGGCCCCTTATGGCAACGTGACATTAGCCTAATCGATAATATTTCCATATGTGGCTCTTTCCTCCTTTCTTGTCAACAAGTGGATTCAGAGCCACCGCATTAGCAGCGCCGGCGGTCGCCATGTCTCAGTGTTTTTAGGTGTAGTGAATGTCGTGTTATTAGGGATGCACGATATAGGATTTTGGCCGATATTCGATATGCCGATATTTTCAAACTAATTTTGCCCGATGCCGATACCGATACCGATATATTTGTATTTTTTTTAAGTGCAAAAAAAGCTTATTAAAGCTTCTATTAATGTTCTCAGTCAAGAGCAGTGAGTGATTTCCTCTGTGTTTTGTTGTTTTATTAACATTAACGGGATAGTTCTCCCAAAAATTTGAATTGTCATCATTTACTCTCTCAAGTTTCTTTCTTCTGTTGAAATTATAAAAGTTATTTGGAAGAATGTGGCTAACCAAACAGTTGCTGTACTCCAGTGACTTCCATAGTATATTTAAGCACAAGAAAGAAATGAATCCAGGTTTGAAACAACATTAGATAGACAGAATTTTTATTTCTGGGTGCAGTATCTCTTTAA